CGTAAGTCGCGCGTGTGCTTATCAGAGATGTAAGTACATATCGCATGTACGTACACGAGTACCCGTGTATGCAAGATTATTAAGTTAACGAAGTAATTATGCGAACCTCGATCTCATCATCGGCCTAGGAAAATCGAAATGAACTGTATACATGAAGAAAGTGTGCCATATTCTAATAAAAAAATCAATATTCGCGTCAAAATTTAATATACAATGCGTTCTTTATATTTTTTTACAAGAATTTATGTTCTAAAGATATATTATTTAATTTTAAAATTGATAATAAATATAGTTATCTTGATTAATTTGCGGTTAAGCTTCAAGATAAAAAAGAGAATACATAATCTTGCAATAAGCTTCAAATAGTAATACATGCTAAATAATAAACGTCAATGTCAATTGTCTTTTTTATAATGAGCAAATGTCCCTCGCAGATAAAAAAATCGATATGAAAATATTATCCACGGGCACAGTAGATGAAAAGATTCTCGCGCGAGAATGCGAGTTTATAAGCAGGAAGTCTGTCTTTTTAAATTACTAGCTATGCAATGTCGCGTCAGACAATAAAACGATAATGACAATTGAATTAATTAAATAAAGGTATCTACGCGCGAGATGTGCCATGAATGCTCACTTCCTACTTCGATGATGGAAAGACGTCGATACCGGATTGCATTATTAATAATCGCGTGAATAGACTGTCACACTTTACTGCAACACTGCAATGCGGATGTTCTTGTTGTTTAATCATGACAATCATTAGAAAAAGAAAGAGTTTTACAATAAACTTTTTTTTATAACAAGTTTGTAATATATAATAATGTATAACGTGTATATTATAACAAAATGAGGATGCGATATATAATAATAGAAAATATATGAAGTCCACGTAATCATCATAAAAGTTTAAACGATATAATGATTTAGATAAATAATGGTTTTTAATAGATAAAATCCATTTTATTTGTGGCTATTTTTATATTCTAGAAAAACGATTAGTAATCAACAAGTAAGCGTTTAATAATATCCCCTGTAAATTTAGTTTTACGAGGCAAACGACGAAACTCTTCGGCATATCCGTCAATCCCAGATCGTCGAGTATCCGCGTTTCATCGCGCGAAGACGATCGATGAGCAACAATTCGGGATCGGGTTCCGATCATAAGATACGTCCCTGATAATCGTGTGCAGGCGTTTTACATGTAATACAAAACCGCAAAGGCACACTCCGCAGGCGTGACGCGTAGCGGGCCCCATAGAGGCCACGTTACATGCCACGATGTCATAATGCCCGCGTCCTTTGGAGCCGCTTCTCGCGCGCGAGTTGCGCAATTGCATTTAATAACGTCAGCTCCAGCGCGATTGCCGTGCACGACGTGGCTCTTATGACACTTTAACGGATTTTCGCAGAACGTGTCGAATAAATTCAACTGCGAATTTGCACGAAAACACGCGTGCGTGCACACGTGTTGCAAAATTTCGGATTAAGCTGCAAGGACGATGAGATTTTCTCTTCCCGTATCTTTTCCGATTATTTATGATTTATATTTTCCTCCGATAGTTTTACAGGGGTAATTGTAGATGAGACATCGAGCGACGTTTGCAATCGGAGAATCCTGTTCGAATGCCTAATATCGTTGTGTAACATTCGAGAGTAATATGGAAAACTTATATTGGTTTCGATTACTAAAGTTATTTTTATGACACGGCTCACTTTTCACCTCTCGCGTAAAATTGCCATTATATTAGCTAGTCGATTAATTTTATCTGCTTAAGCAGTCATACTTGTCGAGCATGTGTAGATACTGCCATAATTATACCTAATTATAATTTATATATCAATTCATATAATATTATAATTCATATAATATTATATTTAATATTGAATTTCTAAATTTATATATAAAACATCGATGAAATGGAATTATCTTACAAAAAAGAAGATTTCTTAGTATCTTGATATTTGGTATTAAGAAAAATTTTAATTCATGATATTTATTATTTATTGCTTCTATTAGAAATTATTAAAATTACATAAGATTAATAACATAAGAAGATTAATAACATGAGAAGCAATTTGAGTAGAGTGAACTGTAATTCGATTAATCATACGATGATGTATCAGTGACGTTTAAAGAAAGATTTACATTTAAGCATGATTGCGCGTGCATTCTGCTGACTTATCATAAACCATCTTGTCCCAGATTATTCAATTTATTTAATCGCTTGAATATTTGTTAAATCGTCCCTCGAGTTACCCTGGTGACGTAATCGATGATATTCTGTATATCGTACACCTGCCGCGAAGGGTTGCACCGAAATGGATTTCACGTGGAATATGAGTATCCTGTTAAGATAATAAACAAGCGTGTAAAACCACACTTTATTTGCGCGAGACGACTTGATCGAAAAGCGAGAAAAGATACGACCGCATGTAAAATCTTTTTAATAACTGGTTTGTAATATCCTGCTTACGGCAGCTCCGGCGTTAATATCTGTGCACTTTGCCAAGCGAATCATGTATTTTATTTTCCTCCTTTCTAACACCTGCAATTTGATTCGCGGCACACTCATTTATTGTATATCTACCGTAATTGGTTTAATTTTGTCCAAATAATAATTAAGCGACTATTTAAAATGATTTATATAGAAAATACATGCAAAGAGGCAAATTATACAGAACAAATAATCTTAAATCTAACTCTTAAAATAACTAAATATAATTTTTCAAATATATAAATAAATATTTTAAAAATAAGAAAGTTATTTATTTTATTTTTCAAGATATCTTTTATCGAGATAAATGCATTTTATATCTCGCAGTATTAATTCTGGTAAATAGATAAAAATATATAAGAAGATAAATTTTAACGTGTGTATTTTTTAAAAAATTTTTATAAAAATTATTCAACAGCTACGGAAAAAAGATTGTAAATATCATACTTCTGTATGTTTGCATTATCCTTCAGTTTAACGATTGTAATTTCAAACATTTTTATCCTTGTATTTATCACATACAAACACACAATCGTAACTTAATTTACATACAGCAATATGTCGATATAAAAAAATTAATAATTAGCAACAAGCTTATGCTTATAAATCATATGATAGTCATCGTGCGTCAATCATTATTCTCAGAGATTTTAGATATGTTCTAGCAACTCATTATATAAATGCAATTCTCAATTATTGCAGATCAAACTACACAAACGCGCGATTGAAAGCAATGAAGCGATATTTCATTTTCACTCGACTTCAAGTAGTAATTATCTAATAAATAATACCGACAGAATGTTCACACATGCTCATTAGTAAACTTGACCCTGCAGTTACTACCTGCATTTGCGTTTAAATTAAAGCGATTAATTGTTTATGGAGATTATTTATCAGAGACAAACGCGTGTTTGTTAATTTTCAGCTAAATCAATAATTGCAGATATATAATTGTATGTTATGTAATTGACGTATATTTATTTTAGTATAAAGCAAATTTCGAATAACGATAAAATATATTAAATCTAATGAAATTTAGACATTGTAATACAATGCTATCCTAATAAAAAAATTAACAAAATTTTAGAATCATTTAAGAATCTTCAAACATAATAATTTAATTACATAAAGGATGAAATAGGGAGTTATTACTTATATTAAAAAATGTTCTATTGTATTCTGTTACAATATACAGATATGTGACCACAAATTAATAGAGCTACTAAAATATTCAAATGTCCATAAAATTGTTCATTTATTTAAAGAAACAATTAATAATATCGAAAATAAATTCAGAATTGCAAAGATTTTTTAAGAATTCTTTTTCTCTATAAAAAATAATTTAAATTACGTACTGATTAATTAAGGGACACACGAGATCGCACAAGTGACACGTAAAAAATGCCGCTAAATCTTTGTTCAGCTGGAAGGCTGAGTGGCGGTAAAGATGGGTCAACCTTTCGCCTTGCGATTATGTAAGACCTCGGTCTGACTGACCTTTAGGTTCGTTCATGGCATGCGGCATTTACGTAATTTACCGATTACGATGTATTAGAGTCTTGTGCCTAGAGAACAGTTCTCCTTCTAACGCTAATATATTTTTGAATGCGCGCTATATTACATATAATGGATCAGAATATGTTTACATGACCTGTGATCAATGCATCGAAAATCTTGTGAATTTAATCAACACAATAATCTCATATTTTTAGTAATAACCTTCAAATGTCGATTTTCCTCGAAGAAAGGAATAAATAATAAAAGATGATTTTTAGAGAGTGATAACATTTAAAATATTGTATAATAATATATTAGTAAAATATTGTATAATAATATATTTGTAAAAATTTATATTGTAATTTATATTATAAATATATTATAGATATTATAAATATATTATAAATATAAATATTATAATATATTATATTTTAATATTGTAATATTATATATTATAATATTATTATAATATTATATTATATTATATTATTTATATTATAAATATATTATTATATATCTTTCGTATAATTTTATATAATAAATTAAACAAGTCTTATGTATATAATTATTTAAATGTTATATCTATAATCAATTTATTATAAAATTTTACATTTTTACAATATCTATATATTTACTACTTATAATCAACTTTTTTCAACAATTTTCAATGGATTTCTAATCAATGCAAAATTTATAAAAATTAAAATCAAAAAGTTCTAAAATATTCTGCATAAAATTATATAGCATGATTGATAATGAAATAAAAAAAAAACGCTATTGAAATAAGTATATTCTTTTCTTCGTCTACAGCGTCCTCTGAAGTAATAGTAATAGTTGATATTATCGATATGTAAAACAGCTGACATTAATCTGCATTTATCGACGGTTGCGACGTACTGTTTGTTTATGAATGTATTTTACGCATCATGTGAAACGTGGGATCTGTTCTTTTCAGCTGCACTGCTGCACTAGTACAATAGTTAGAGTGAATGAAAGCATGTTTGTCTCTTTCTAACTTATTGCACTAGTGCAGTAGTGCAGCTGAAAAGAACAGACCCGTGATTATGTAATTCATAACCAAGCAAGTTTCATTGATAATAAATATCGATAATAATTATTAAATGCTAGTACAGAGAAAAATGTTAGAGTCAACTATTCACGCATTAGGAAATGGCAGAGTAATCTTAGCTAGTGGATCTCCAAGACGATGTGATATAATGAAACAATTGGTAAACAATCATTAAATCATATAAAAAATTTTACAAGTATTGTAAATATAAGTAAATAAGATAAAAGTCATCTTGTGCAAAGATTGTTCAAACAAGTGTGATTGAGAGAATTAATATATATATAATATATTATTATATATATATTAATCAAATAATATTTATCAGCGTATAACTGCAGAAGTAGTACCATCCTTGTACGATGAAAATCTAGACAGAACCAAATATACCAATCATGGAGAATATGTTCAGGACATAGCCAAATATAAAGTGCTCGAGGTATATGAGCGTTTAAAAGCAGATTCAGTACCTCCATCATTAATAATAGGAGCAGATACAATGGTGACAATGGGTGATGTTCTTTATGGAAAACCACACAATGAAACAGAGGCTTTTCAAATGTTGTCAAGGTAACAACTTGCGTCAAACTGTATCATCAAATAGCATAATTAAAAGTTCTTGTTTAGTCTAGCGAATAAAGAACATGTTGTTTATACTGGTGTATGTTTGAAAACGCCTAAAGTTGAACTCAAGTTTTATGAATCTGCTAAAGTAAAATTTGGAGATGTATCCGAAAGACAAATAAGAGAATATATAAAAACAGGTGATCCTATGTGAGTTATAATCTCATTAGTCTTATTAATATTATATCGCACAACTTTACTATCTAAGTAGAATATTATTTTAGGGATAAAGCAGGAGGATATGGTTTTCAAGGTATAGGAGGCTGTTTGATCGAGAAAATAGAAGGTGATTATTATACGATAACAGGTTTGCCACTGTATGCATTGACTAAACATTTGAACCAAATATTTTCTAATAATTAATAAAAATATTCAGCTTGTTAGTACCTGCAACGTAAACATTGTACCTCTATCTCTATGTCTCTAATAAATTTTATTATTTTACACTAACAACTTTGTAACTTTACGAATTTGTATATTTAATTGTCCTTCCCTCCTTCTCCTATTTGTATATTTAACAGTCTTTTATAACAATCATATTTAAATATGACATATTTAAATTGGCATGCTAATATTGACATTGCGTACTATTAAAAATACAAAGTAAATCATTCATCAAGATATAGTAAAATTATTTAGCATTATATTTTCATTAATAAAAACTTTGTGCAATCTATATTAAAATGTATAAAAATTTCTATATAAAAAAAAAGAATATATTTTTGATATTACATACATTTATTTATAGGCAATATATTTATATAAGTTCAATAATAAAATTCTTTAATTTTATTAATACTCACGAATTATGAATAATACTTGGAGCTACAGCCGCGTGGAATTCACTTACCAAACGCTCACAATTTCAATACTTTTCCGACATTTTCGGCATATCGCACTATATAGATGATATTTTTTCTCGGCAATTTTTTAATACATTTAATTTAAAAGTTAGCCATGCCAAGTTTGCTTAACAGAATTATTATATATTTGCACCATCAAACCGATATATTATATCTGAACATAATACGACAATTGTCTGATACTTTTTTCAACACTCTCGATACCACACATTTACTTAAATATTTGTTCTCGATAATTTAAAACTCGTAACTCGCGGACATGATAAAACAAGTAATTATGATCGTAATATAATTACACATTATTATTATTATATGTATAATTATAACTGTAGCACTAATCACATGATAAGAAGCTCTTATTCTTTCAACACTATGTTAAATTAAATTTACACTACGTCCACAACTATGCACGACGCACTAAACTTCTTCATTTTCGATTTTTAAGATGGCGAGTTCATAACTGCGCTAATCAAATGATTATCAGGACGTGTATCATATGCATTGATGTCTTATTTTCAATATATTAACACTGTGTTTATATCCAAATAATATATATAGTATAATAATATAATATATAATAGTTTATATAAATATATGTTTTAATATCATATTTATTAGAAATTAGAGCGCAAAGAATTCAAATTTTAAATGATAGTATAGCATAATAATTCAAATCGCAGGATTGAAACAGCCACTAACAAAATAAGAAGATGAGATAAGATACTAGATAAGATTCTATTTAAAAATATTCTGAATTGTCTGATTGATTAATTAAAGAAATTGAATTTGGAGACACGTCTCGTTTATACAAAATATTTTTTTAAAGACATGTCCGATATAAAAAAAGAATATTTCTCTTTGATTTTTTTAAATTCGCATATTTTATGTATTTCGAGGAGTAATTTTTTTTCATTGGTCAATCAAACGTTCGAAGAATTTATAGTGTCAAATGAAGTGTATCTATATAAATTTATACATTGAAGACAGCATTAAATGATAAAAGAAAATAATAAGAATTTAAATGCTTTCTTTGCCCGATTCTTCCCTTGTTGAACAAGAAAAGAGCATCTGACTTTCTAATGTCCTCTCACTAATGTTTATTTTTTTGCTTTTAATAGACGCGTAGTCTATCTGTGTATACGTCTTTGTGTATGCTGTGTGATCTTTGCGCTCACTTCATTGTGTTGCTCAGAGTTTCGCGCGGTTTTTCATGGCGTCGAGACGCTTGTGATGTGACGTAAACGCGATGAAATATTGTGAGTAATAATCTGTATATATTAATATACATTCGTTAGTTATAAATACAATACGATATATTATTATATTACGGTTAAGAATTATATATCTCATCTGAGCAAATTTAGATTATTGAACATAAATTATATCATGTACAAGGAAGCGCGTAGAATCTGAAGTGCCGAAAAAAGCATTGGACGATCGATTGTATCATGTGTAAATGCAATATATTAAATAGTGCGAAAGTGTGATGGTTCTGTTAAATAAACTGTACGCGGTCGTTTCCAAGCAAAGTACGTCAATACAATATTAATAAGTCACCGAGGAAGATTATCAACGTATATCGCGAGTGCCGACAAAATATCGGACGATCATCACGACAATCCCGGTAAGTAAACACTCCATGTGACTGTAACCTCAATGAAAGTGAGTATTAATAAAATCATAAAAAAATAATAACATTACTGAGAATATATTATCTGCAGTAGCATACAATATTGGATGTTAAAAAAAATATCGAACAACTATCGTATTATATACAAATATAGTATAATGCAAAGATGCGATCATGTGAAAGGTGCGACAGTTCCATTAAATAAATTCTGCGAGAACTCACAACTCAAAACATTTTTTGTTGAACATATTAATAAATTAATAAAAAAAATATAAACATAAGATAAATGTTTAATATAAAGGTCTTTTTTGTTTGATTTTTTAAAATATATTTTGATATTATATTAAAATCGAATAAATATTAACGAATCGTAAATATTTAGTATAAGGATTTCTTCTAATTTTTTAAAAATTTATTTATGAAATCAATTTTTAACAAATTAAAAACTTTTATACCGTATATTTATCAATTTTTTCAATTGTCTCCTTAAAATCAAGAGATTGCACTTACAAATAGATGTTACACATTTTCTTTTATATATTATATATATTATTAAATATTATTTTTATTTTACCCTTTTTATACGAAATAAAATTCACAAATAGCGCCATCTGCACAATATGATATTTAGATAGTTTACCGTCTCTCGTTCTTAATATGTCAAACGTCATTTTATAATGTACCTATAATCATTTAAAAAACTAATTCCCGATTATATAAAACATATACATTTGTAGAGAGTATAGTGTGTATAATCTTTTTTTTTTCACTATTTTCTTTCAATGCAATAGTGAAGTGCTCTTTATGCTTTGTGTCTTTCGTGTTGGGAAAGATGGAAGACGTTTTAAATGATGTTGTTTCTTCTGAAGATTTAAAGGTAAATATATATTAAACAGTGATTTTTATGTCTCCGATATTTCCGCAAAGCCTACTTTGACATGTCATTTTTTGTGTTGGATTTTAAATTGATCAAGAAGGAATAATAATATGTATCAGAAAGTTAGGTTAAGTATACTTGACTTGCCTTTATTTGTGCAATATTTTATATTCTACTTTGTATCGTTACGTTATCACAATCTGGGAAACTTCATATTCATATAAAAGAGAATTCTTGTGTACTTTTATAATTCTCGAATCATTCTGCATTTTCATGGTCTTGAGTGAAACATGTTCAGCGAGGAACGTCACAATGATATTTCATAATAGTATAAGTATATTATAAGTAATATTTAAATCGCAATTAAATTGACATTATTAATAATTTACGTTTTGCAATAAATTCTAAATGATTCATCAATTAAGAAGTATTATGAACCTTGAAAAATATTTTAGAAAAATATATAAATATTGCATCATTTCGTAATACAATCATTTCAACAAACAATTGTTATGCTGTGTTTTAGAAATTTGAAAGTGTATATCATGAGCAATTGCGTGCATCACATGTTACACAAAAAGCACAATTTGAATATGCCTGGTGCCTTGTAAGAAGCAAATATTCTGCCGATATTAGAAAAGGAATACTATTATTAGAAGATCTCTATAATAATTATGATACAGAAAAACGTGATTGTCTGTATTACTTAGCTATTGGAAATGCCAGAATAAAGGTAAATATGGTTATGAGCGAATATGTTTGATATTGTAGACATTCTTAATCTCTTTGTTCATTCTCTTATATCTTTCCAGGAATATTCAAAAGCACTATCATATGTGAGGTCATTCCTTCAGATTGAACCTGCAAATGTGCAAGTACAACAACTGGAAACATTGATAAAAAAGAAGATGGAAAAAGGTTTTCCTTTTATAATTTATTATCGGCTTAAAAGAATAAAAATCATGCTTTGCTTAGGGGCAATATCGCTAAGAAGTTTCTGTGATTTTCTTATGCAGTCATATTATTTCTGGTTGCTTCTAATCATTTTTCTATTCTCCTGGATTGCTAAATTTTACATTTATTCTACTTAATAATTTCCTGTCCCCATAATTCAAACTAATCTCATCAATTATCAAAAAATAACAAATGTATCGCATACATTTCTGTGATAAAGTTTTAACTTTAACTTCAATGATGTAATTTCTTTCATCACTTTTTAGATTTTATATTTAATTTTTTTATTTTGTGAATGTTTAATTCCTTAATTCCTTTTATGTGTGATATATAATTTCATATTTAAATACATAAATTAAAGAATTTAGTATAGATTCGGTACTTTTGTTAATAGTCATTGCTGCATATTTTTTATAATGCATCTATTTAATATTTCATCTCTCTGTACATCTTGTATAATAATTAATAAAAATTTATGTACCGATTACATAAAAGACTAAACCACTATTTAATACCATTATGTTGCTCGATGCATGTCTCATTGTTTTTCCATTATTATTAATCGAATCTTTTATAAATATAATTAATAATGCTTCGCGGGATTAACATAATAGAATTACAAATGTTATTTAAAATACTCAATAGTCACATTTTTTAAACTGAAATTGGCGTTGAATTTTGTTTGTTCCTTTTTTTTTGCAGAGGGCCTCGTGGGTATGGCTGTCGCGGGAGGTGTTATTATTGGTATTGCAAGTATTCTGGGCCTGGGCATTGCAATGGCCAAAAAAAATTAGTTATTTGCGAAAGAAAATTGATCATAAAATATAATTGCGATGTAGCTTATCTGCACAAAACATACACATTGTCTCATAATTGCTACGTGAGATACTGTTTTGAATAGAAAGAGAAAAATATATCAAAAAAATCATGACCAAAAAAAATTACGTAATTTGTAATATCACATTTTTATAATCAAAAAAGTAGAAAAAGAAACAAAAGAAAAAGAATTTAATAAGTCATACATACAGTGTAATTGCTTATTTAATATGATTCATTAAATTATTCCAAATAAATATATTTGCGTTATTGCACAAATGTAATTCTTTGTTTTATATATGTCAAAAATATCTATTCAATAGATCAGTTTTATTTTTAATACATTCCGAAATTGTGCATGTAATTTTTGAATTTTATGTGCATGTATATAATGCCGAAAAACCATTGAATTTTTTAACGACAGATTTTTTTGGTTAACTTGTAAAGTTTCCTCTCGAAACCTCGAGAGAGGCTATTATTTATTTTCAAGTCTTTTGTTTTATATATCTTTGTTACTAAGCTTAAAAATTAAATTTTATCAAAACATTCTATCTAAAATTAACGAAAGTTTAGCCATTTAATTCCTGAAAATTTAGTTTGCTAAAAACTTTTCTTTTTTAGTTATGTTTTAATTTGAAAATTATTGATTTCTCACACATTCTTGTTAAAAAAAATTAACTCTAAATTAACGAAATAATCTGTCATTAAAAACATGTCAGGTGATTTTGGAATTTATGCACATAGAGATAGAAGTATATATGTATGTATATAAATGTTGCAGCATTCTACAAAATCAGTCTTTAAGGTGGCGAATTTTAATGGACTAACGTTTTATAATAAAGCTAACTTAAGAAAGGCTCTGCAACATTATATATAATATATGAATATGATCATAAGTCATATGATCTTTAAGTTATAAATATCGAAAATTTTTTTATATTAATGTTATGCAAGCATATGTTTAATCATCATACCAAAGCGTTACATAAATGATAACAGATGAAGCTTTTATATATAATTAGGAAAACAATTGTATTTGCTGATTTGTGCTGTTGAATTGATTTAATAAAAGTCAATATTTGAAGGTATATATTGGATATTTTTTTCTATGCAAATTATTAAAGTACGCATGCATAACTTTGCTCGAAACTGCCGGAACCTGACGTAATCCTATCATAATGAAATTATGCAAAATATGTATGAGGCAGCTCCGCTTTTCATTTGTAATATTGCACGGAAATTTATTCGTGTGAAAAATTTGGCAATATTTCATTTGCAGCAAACTGTAGCGTGGCTGAACTAGACATGGCAAATTTTTGTTCTTGAATGTAACGTATATGATGATGAAATAAAAATCTAGTTTCGACGAGAAAAAGGAAAACACTGCTTTATATTTTAAATAATAATTTGATGCAAAATCCAGTTATCGCATTCGCATTGTATGTTTATTACTCAATGTGATCTTCGTATTGCACAAATGGAACCATATTACAGTAAACTATCTGAGTCTCTCCTTGTGTTTACACTGAGAGAATGTGATTTCCATATTAGATAAATGAAACTCAGAATTAGTCAGCCATATCTAGCGTTAAATGCACCGCTAAACACAGATGCGAATATTGATTGCTGCAAATATTCGACCGCACTCATAGCGAATAGCATTTGTAAAACATTGTATATTGGTTTATTTGTGAAAACAATATTTAACACATAGGATTAAGCGATGCAAAATTCATTACAATTACAAACAAGATGCGATATTAAAAAAAGTGTTTCTCTCTTCAATCTAAATCTATTCGATAGAACATAATCGGACTAAATAAAGGATAGATGAAAGAAATATAACAGGCTCTAATTCATATTTTTTTATATATAGATTTATTGATGACTTCTTAATATCTGTTGATAAAGTTGTTTATGTACAAAATAACGCTGGAATATCCCTATTAATATTATTATAACTATTATTATTATTATTAATGACCTATGTTATGGCCCAGGGACTCTCTCGAAAGCCCTTTCCCCGCTCGCTTCGACGAGTCAGTACATTCTTGTCTTTTCCATGCCAAGAAACACGACGGCGATGATGAGCGCTATGCACATTCTCGCTCGCCTTCTTTTCTCTCGTTCGCCCACACGCGATAATAATATTTACACTGGTCGACCATTGATCGGATCGGCACCTCCATCGGAGAACGGATGAAAAGAAGACCGCGGGATTTGTCGGTAATATTCGCGCGGCTTCGCCTTTATGGTATATCTTAATGAAAGATTCGATAAGTAAAGAGAAAATCGAGTATAGGCGATGAATGCGATTGTTTAACGCGCATTTCGCCTCGCATTCTCCAGCGCCGTTATTAAATTTATTCTTAGCGCAGTCAAAAATTTATTTATTTAATAAGTTTTCTGTTTTTTTTTTTTTCGCACAAGTAAAACGATGAAACGATCGACGGACCGTTTGCAGCTTGATACGTACCGTCCGAATGAAATTTAACTTGTTCATTACAAGGTTCGCGATTCAATGGGGTGAAATTCGAGCAACCACATCTAGCGCCGCGTTTAACGTCAAATACGATCGCGATGAATTTTTTTCATTACATCGAGTTATTTAGACTTTCATTTATTTTATGTAAATGATTTTTATATAAATTTTATATTTATTTTATATAAAGGAACACGCGTTTTCTCCCACTACCTCTTTCTCTTTCTGTAATCGATCAAGATGAGACGAGGAAAATCGCACATCGGCGTATTTGACGCTAACCGCGCGGCAAAAATGCGGATTATTTTTCTTCGAGAATAAAAGGACAGAGGGAGAGGATATGAGATGTATTTACAAAGGAGAGTCGGGGAGGCTCTACTATACTTGTGCCCGCGGTATAACGACATCGACGACTTTCGCAGTTGGTCCGCGAAACGACTGATGGTGATCGATATTAGCGCGAAGTGGATAACTACTCTCTGTCGACCCGGATTGTTGACCGCCCCCCTGGAACGTGATGCGATCGTTTAATAAAAACAGCGCGCGCCGCGTATGCAGGAGTGCCGCTCTCGGACGCGCAGAGCGGCTATCGATTAATAAACGCTGCGAGGAGAAAATCGCGTTTTTTTTTTTGCGCGCGCGGATCACTTTCAAAGCGGTGAGTTCGGGCAGGTCGCGAGAAACTTCGAATTTCAATTCGCGACTATTACGCGACAGGTGCGCTCCATGGTCTGGAGAGGAAGAGTCTCTCTTAGATTTTCTCTGAAAATTTTTCGATAGATATTTACAACCGTGTACCGTACTCCAACGACTCCTTTTGCACGACTTAAAGAATTTAATTTGGTCTTTACTCGACTCGCGTGTTTTTCGCGGCAAAAATATATTTCAGCCTCGCCGTCAGACGCGGCCAGTTCGCAAAACTTTTTCGTTCGCAAAACCGCTTTTTGTGTACGAATGAAATTTCGCGATGTTTACGTAAACGCGGGAGTCCACACGGTAATTAAACTTGTCCTTCCAATCCAATTCTACGCTGTATTACGGTCTAGAGAGAGTGAGCACGTTGTTTTATTTCTGTCGTAATTTGTTCCGGATGATACGGTTGTTTCTGCAAACTCATGGAGTGGTAATATTTCCGAAAAATGTCAGAGAGAAATCAAAAGAAAGAAGACTCGATACACCTTATTCGCGGTAACAGATCAATCAAAATTCGAAGGAGGATTTTCGCGATATAATTCCTGAACTGGCACGTGTTATCCGTGGGTCGCAGCTTCTAGTCCTCTCGCGCGAATTCGGATCCTCGCCGATCGCGAAGTGATTCGCGATCGTCGAGTTTTCCCTGTTCGCATCGCAGGAGAGAACGTTTCGTTCTTTTACCTAGCGTAGGAATTAATCGCTCAATAGATTAGCAGCTTGAAAATACTTTAAGCAGTTTAAGGATGAATATTGCTTTCTCAATAAGGCTCCGCTATGCTTTACACGAATGTACAGTGTGTAGTTGTGTGCGCGTTTGTGTGAATCAAATTGATAGTGTGTTTTATGTATGTCGTCTGTATTCATCGGCTCGTTTGCCGATCAAATCTCGACTCGAACTGGATCTCGATTCTCTCTATGATCGTCTTTCAAATCTAAAGTGCACAGAGACGAGATCGAAGAATTACAATCGCCTAAAGATATCGGTCGACAGAAGAAGCTTTAAGTTCCGCCATCCTGGAGAAGCGCGAAATATCACTTTAATGATATATGTACGAGCTCCCGTGGAATGTGCATATAATTCATCTCGTGAAATTTACAGTTTCGCGCAGCTGCGCGAGAATCAAATACTATACGTATATATATATATATCACAATTTAAGATTAGGTCGTTTAAATTCGATACATGGAATATCATTCGCAAAGGGAAACTTGTTTAACCACCCGTGAATCCTTTCTGTGGGTGAAATTAATTTCTCCTCCTAGATCGAATCCAATTAACAAACTGAATACTTAGAGACAGACGTGTTAGCTGTGTAATTTCTACATTTTCCAAAATAAATTACGCGCGACGCGAGTAATTCCAACTTCTCGAAATTTTCTTCTGTTATGACTGTTAATGTAAAAAAAAATGATTTTTTTTCTTTAAATATTGTATCGAAAGTGTGTTGTACACAGAGGATTAATTGTTACATCTTCGCGCCGTAAGTTTTCATTATCATGCACATATCCGGGAATCGCGATCACAATGGTGCGCAGAGCACGTATTGATATTAAGTTTATCGAGAGTACTGATAAGCGCGCGCTTGAATACTGGCACCTCCAGCGAGAGAGATTGCATTGCGCGCAGCTAAGTACGCGGAATTCGTCAATCGACGTCCTGTCGTTGTCCGATAACGGCATCATGAGCTCGCGGTCGAATGGCAGAACTCGAGCTTATCTCTCGAACGGCAGAAGGAACTCGGATGAGAGTGTTATGACAGATATGAGACGAGAGGTGTGCGCGCCTTTTGACGCGGCGCCGATTTAGGAGCCCAGTCACAGTGAAATACACGAGACGCATATGATGAATAAAATATATATTATATATATATTTATAAGAAATAGATATGATAAAGGATAAAAATATGTGAGTGACATTGTGTCAGATTTCCAATTGATGTTAAAATTTATCTTTTTATTTATATCACTGTCAAATTTAAATTTCTATTTTATATCTTCAGGAGAAAAATATAAACGATTACATCTTTCTGAGATTTAAATCTGATTTGGATTATGCATTTTTCATTTTTCATTCGTGTATTTCGTTGTGCCGTGGCACTTTACATGTGCGGATACATAATCGATACGAAAAAAAGATACAATAGGCCTTACGAACTACCGGCGCTCAATTTTGTACAATAATTTAATATTTCGATTAATTTACTCGATCATTCAAACGTTTCTTTCTTTCTATTATTCCTTTTATTCCTTTCTCTTCTTTCCTTTTTTTTCCTTTTTTTCGAAATACGTCGAATGACTAGCGATACGATAATATTATATGATGAGATTTTAGTGTATCACGGTCATATTGTAAAATATACACTTTTCGTCTTGCTCCTATCGTGATGATGGCTTTTTAATATTCTTTCTTCTCTGCTCACAAAACTATCTATGATACTTGAATCCTGACATTTACAATGTATTTTAATTACGCTATTAAGATTTATTTAATGGCTCGCCTCGAAATCGTGAAATTAAATCGCAAATTATCGTACATAAATTTCAATTTGATTATATATACAAGAAAATATAATAATTCCAAATTCGCATTAGATTCGCATAATTTCGCAATTCATTAACAATTTTCGACAATATCGCACTACGGATTTGACAGAAGTAGAAAATGTCGCAACTTATACATAAAACATACAAAGATTTGTTATCATCATTTATCATCACCAGAAAATATATTTTTTTAAATTTATTTTTGCACTACTAACTTTCGATATATTTGAAATGTTAGTATCGTATCTAATTAATTTTTATGTTTCTTGTAAAATTCAAAAAAAGATTGATAAAAAAAAGAGGAATTTTCATTAAAATAGCAAGATAAATGTGTTTTAGATGTAAAGTACTTGTTACTGATTGTAAATTAAGAGCGTCGTCGTATAATAAATCGTACTTCATTATAAATAAAATTGTACAACGAATCACGCGCATGAAAAAAAAATTATCATGAGCGATCGATAATTTATATTATTATTTCATATTATCTTATATATTTTAAAAAGGTGGAATTTTTTGGATTATATTTGTCTTTCGAAAGGATCTGGTCGCATCGCGATTCAAAATTGCGAGCGTTACATCAGGCGTTTGCGGAGAAGCTTCTCTCGATTTGCTCTCGTTTAGTCAAAAGCGACAAGGATAAAGCCGTCCCGCGGAAATTTGCAAAGTTTCCCAGGATATTTCGGATTAATTTTCAAACTTACGAAATTAAATACTATGTTCCTATGTTAGTTCTCTTTATCGATATCGTAACGTTAGAGTGTCCGAAATGCTGCTATTTTACGTCACAGAACATTTGCATTATATTGATTCTCGAATACGAATAATATAGCATGCAACTTTTCATTCATATGTATATATAAATATAATAATATTACAGCGTAAACGTAATATCATATTCTCGAAAAATTTAAATTACTTATGTCGATAAGAGATCACGTTTTTTACGCCGTCTTATTTATTTCGTAAAATTCAATCTGGGCTTAGCGCTCACGAACACTCATGAATTTAAAGTCCTCGATATGTCATATATATCGAAACGTGTTTGTAAAACAGCAAAAATTGTTACGGTATAAAATTATAAATCGTATTTGCGGTGTTCGGTCGTACAACACGATGCAATAATAAAAATGTTGGCTCTTCTTCATGGCAGTCATAATTTGAGCGGAAATAATGTTGTAAATCTTTCTCAGATTTCCGGTGACATTATTCATTTGCCAAAAAATGGACGATAGATTATACGATTTGATTTCGTGTCCAACTTATTTCTAAGAGACGCTCGTTTGAAACGATATTTCGCGAATATCCGGATTTTACAATTGATATATGTTTCAGTATATTTTTCAGTATGTGTATCACATTTATTTTCTCAAAACGCATTGCAGCGCGGAATGTTTACAGAACAATATCGAACCATTTAGAAAAGTCATCGAAATTTTATTCGATTACCATCGATATATCGGAAACTTAATATCACTCATTTGAAAGATTTCAACAATTGCTTAAAGTTACTCGCAAATCCTTGATCCTTGGCAGCCAAATCTTGTTGCGACACAAGAATATATCAGCTTTGTTTTTCATTAAATTTATTATTAAAATATGATACGTAACGATATATATTTTAATCTTACATCGAAGGAACATAGTCGAATGTTATAAATTTCGCTCTTATCCGGATAAATTTCGCGTCGCGATCAAATAATAAAGACTCCGATGCCAAATGGCGTCAACGGGACAGAAAGGGTTTATGAGAGCGAAGATGAGTGTCCTTGAGATATGTGCAAACGCATCCACGGGAGAGAAGAGAGAATTCTACGCGCAGTTATACCTAAAAGTAGAGCTGCAATATATCTTTCTTCGGCGATACCGAACGACGGTTACTCCATTATCGATAGTAACTTTCACTCCCGCCGTATCTTCCCCATTCGATGCATCCGTAATTTTTCTCCGATAAATCATGCTCGGTGTACCATAGTATTTTATTTAACGACATTTATTCCTTTAGCTCTTAACGTTAAACACATCGTTCCACTTTTAATGTACTTATCATTTGAAATCATATTTGCTGTGTATATGTGCATACACATCTTTTCTTGTAATTTTTCAAAAATTGATCTTTATTATTTTATTATAGCGCGATGTAGAGATAAAAAGAGAAAAGGGGAGAGAAGTCGATTGGGAAAAAGCAATCACGATATTTCTGAGACAGTCCGAGTGCAAATCAACACACGTCGCTGCAAGTACTAAACGTATTCAATTTCCGTCCGATTTCCGTGCCGACGAGTTAATGCTCTTCGAGCCTAATCTTCGAACCCGTTGCAGATTCTACCGGAGCTGAAATTCCGCTACTCTCTTCCACGCCCAGCAGCGAGGTAGCGAGCAAGCGACTGCACCGCGCCGCCGGGAGTCGATTCAAGGTGCAGTCACCTTTCTCAGGCTGGGTGACCGTGGAATTCCACTGGGTACACTCGGGCGGAAAAATAATCTCGTTCCGTAAAGTACATCTTCGCCGTACCCTGCTCTCTCTCGTTCTTTGCTCTCTGTCTCTTTCTATTTTTCCCGTCTCCTTTTTTCGTATTCTCGCTCTTTCTAGCTCCGTAGCCATTACGTCTCTCGGGGAACTAACTTAAACTCGGCCGCGCCCCGTGCATTTTAATGTAGCCGAGATTTATCAGGACCGCGGCATTTCCGATGCGCATCGCCGCAGGAATTGCCTCGTGTATAATATTGAGAGTAAAAGTGACCCGAAAGTTACCCACGTGGCGTATACCAACGTCGTTTAATGGCGATTAAAACTCTATTCCGATGGCGTGAATTGGAGACCGGTTAAAATTCGCATAGTCGAGAGTGCGGCGAGATGTTGCTTTCTTCGCGCGAATAAAAACCCTGAGGACAAGATAGATCGACTCCGTTCTAGACTATGAAATATATGATATTCCGAGGTTGACAGGTGCACGAAGCGTTTCTCTCTTCCTTCTCTCTTTTTCAAATAAAATCAAAATTTTTAAAAATTATAAAAATAATGGACTATATTTTATTCAATTATTTATATGAAGAAAACTAACATTTTATAACAACAATAATAATAATAACAATTTTAATTTTTAGTCATGTTTTGGATATGAAATCATTCATATATTAAATCAACGTGCATCTGAAAATCTGCGAATTCTCTAATGTCTCTATCGCGTGGATTGACATCTCGATCTCGAAAGACACCCATTCGCTAAAAAACGAAACAAACGGACGATATCCGCGTTCAGAAACCTGCGCGGTTCCCTAACAACAGCGTAAACCTTCTTAAGGTTAAATCCTTAACGAATCTTACACACACACATCGACCAGAAAAAGAAACGGCCGATCTTACATACCGCTAATTCGGGCGCGATACCGATATTTTGATAATTTCTCCACCCCACGATCTCTTCTCTCTCGACGATCGAGGGATCGAATTGCAGGCGGGTACCCGCTTACTGATTTTCATTCTCTTTTTTTTCTTAGTGAGCAGGTACCCGGAAACTCTCGATTTAAAGTTAAGTTTATTAAAGTTACGATAGTCGAGGACGCCTGACACTAGCTCAACTATATCGTCTCTGTCATTGCCTCTGTACATTGGTGTTTTTATTTAGAAAATAATTCGACCGTTTAGAATATATATAATTTATGTATATATATATTTTTTATTTATATATCTATCTGTATATATATGTATATTTATATAGCTGTAGTTCTACATTCTTTAGTACGGTATCTCCTCGCTTATGATACACGTTTCGCGATACGAATTCTCGTCGCGTGTCCGTCTCGAATAAAACGATCGGGCGACGATCGATAGATCCTAACGAATCGCTCTCATCTGTTTGACGACGTTTAAGCAACTCGTTAAGTTCTCGTTGATTCTTCGGAGCTCTCGAAGAATAACTCGACGTAGACCGATGCGTTATCGAACTTCAGTTGCGATCGAGCTCGATGGTCTCGGCACGATCATACCGTGTATGTCAGTGTTTTTACGCGTATATATAGGTACGTGTATCACGTGGAACAACAGGCTCCACGTGACCGATGACCCGTCGTTTCCGTCGGTTGGGGATTGTAGACCGACCCTGCCTTCCCACGGATTATTCATCCGTGAGGGATTTCCGTTTGGCATCACTCATCCTGGACAAGGCTGCGACAATCTTGTGGTCATCAGTGATAAAACGGAGAAAACTTCTGGCGAAAGTCATTTCCGTGTTAAATCCTCTTTTCTCTGGAGATTCATGAGACGATGATGCTCAACATAACGTAGAGAGTATTAACTCTCGAGTCGAAGGAAGATAGATTTATGTAAAAAACCGTTGAGAGCTACGAAATACATAATTTTTAGAATGTCATCTTGTCTCAGAAAAGTTGATCGACTGATTTGCAGCATTATATTGATGATCAAATAATTATATCGCTGGTCTGATTAATATCGATCAAATAGATATCCCGAATATATTACCGATCATCTGCTATTATATCGACATGGGTGATTCGCATTTGCTCTCACTTTTTGATATTCTTTGTCAATGTTTTCTCAGTCTTCTTTATATTTCATTGATTTTCGTTTCTTTACGTCTTGTGAAGACAGAAACTTCAGGCTGTCTTCGTCATACGTTTTGGAATTATTTTCTTACAAATTTTCCCGTACTAAGTGAAACAACGCGGAGGAGTTTACACGAACATACGATTATGTCTTTTCTGGACTATAAATGCGCCTTCTCATTTTCTTGATTTGCAAGATGACGCAACCGGTTCATCGACGCTCGTCTACGCTCGATACGTCCCAATACCACCCATGTCGAGGCTGTCTCGCAGCTCCATTTCCAGCTGGGCCTCTCGATGTTTATCGGATCGGTGAGTCGATATGGGTGGCGGCGGTGGCGGCGGTGGTGGATCGTTATCCCGATCGCGATTTCTCTCGCGAACGGACGATCTGTCTTTTTCACGCTCCCTCGCATGATGATGATAGTGATGAGCAGCGTGTCCGTTGACCGGCAGAGTGGGATACGAGGATTGGCCACAATTTGCCTGATGCCTGGAGGGCAGCGGCGGCGGCGGCGACGACTGATGGCGACTACCAACCGGGATTCCGTTCTGAAGTCCGGACTCCAGAGTTCGCATCCGGTCGTCCGGTTCTCTGGCCGAGAGTTGTGGCTGTGAATGCGGCGTTCGACGCAGGGAGTGACTGGAGTAATGGGATCTCGCCGCGCTGGACGTGACTCCGTCGATCGGCGTAGCGTTCAGCGACGCCGTGCCATCATCCACGACGCCCCTACCGCCTCCCCCTCCACCTCCCGTTCCGCCACCTCCTCCTTTTCCTCCTCCAGCTCCTCCGCGGTGACCGGAAGCATTGTTCGCGACGGGCAGCGTTCCCGGGCGGCGCATCTGGCGCGCCGTCTCGCCGTCGATGTAGGTGAAGCCCTCGGCGAGGGTGGTGCTGCCATGCGGCAGGAACCAGACCCCGCCGGTCCCGGGGCTCGCCGCCCGAAGTTCTAGCTACAGCTCCGTCACCGGTATCGGTTTGATACCGGCCGTCATCTGTGCGTGAGGCTGCTGTTGCTGTTGCTGCAACTGCTGCTGAAGATGATGGTGATGATGATGCGTGGACACCGGCTGAGATTGCGGCGGTTGATGGTGATGATGATGGTGGTGGGCGTGCGCTGAACGAACAATGTATTCGTCATCGGAGAAGGTCTTCTGATATTCATGCTCCTTCCGCGATATCGCACGGTTCTTCCATTTGTAATCCTTGAGCGCGTCTCGGACGCGTCTGCGGCATCGGTAATATAGGATCAAAGCGACACCGGTAAAGAGAGCCAATCCGGCGGCGCCTACAGTCGCTAGTAGGGCCTGCTTGCGCGGATCCGAGAAAGCGCAGCCTAATTCGTCGGGTGTCATGCCCTTGATAGGTTTACCCTTGGATTCCGGTGGCTCAGCGCATATCACTGGGCTGGAATTCCTCGGTACGAGAACCTCGGCTAGCCAAAGCTGACTACAGTCGCAGATTAACGGATTCTCACTGAGATCCAATCGACGCAGTTCGTTCCAAGCGACCAGCGATTCCGAGAATGTAACGAAAGCGTTATCGCGTAGCATCAGATGCCTCAGATTCGGTAAACCAGCCAGGGAACCGTCCTCCATCGTGGCCAGGCGTTTGTTACTATTCAATATGAGGGTCTCTAAATTGGCATTGTCCGAGAAAGCTCCCTTCTCAACGGTGGTCAACAACTTAGCGCCGGACACGTCGAGTTTCTTCAGCGTCGACAGGCTCTGGAAGGCGCCGGATCGCAGGATCGTGAAAAAGTTTTGACCTAGGGTGAGCTCTTCCAGACGCGGTAACACCGCTAGCTGCTTCGTCGGTACTTCGCGCAACTTGTTAGCGCTCAGTTTCAGACTACGAAGAGCGTTCAAGCCGCGAAATGCCCCGTCACTAATGTTGTCCAATCCAGCGCCCATGATATCCAGCACCGCCAACTGTTCGAGGCCCTTAAATGCGTCATCTGGCAACGAAGTGAAGGCGTTCCAGCCGATGTGAAGCTCGGCGAGAGCCTTCATCGGCGCCAAGGCTGGCGACGGGATAGTTCGCAACTGATTGTCGTCGAGATACAGCACCCGGAGAGTACCTAATTTTTGGAATGCACCTGGCTCGACTTTCGATATGCGATTCTGACCCAGATCGAGCTCCTCAAGCTTCGACAAATAAGCGAACAGGCCGCTACTTAGCGTCTCCAGATAGTTGTCTCGCAGATTCAACACTGTGAGAGACTTGAGGCCTTGGAACGTTTTCTCAGTCAACGCCGAGATCTTATTATGCTTCAAGTGAAGTTCTACTAAGTGTCGTTGAGCGTCGAAACTGCCGTTTGGTATGGTGAACAAATGATTACTGGAGAGATCAACGTTCTTCAAATCGCCGTAGAACTGAAAGGCCGCCGCGTCCACGATCTTGATGCGGTTCTCTTTCAGCACTATCCGCTGAATGCTAGGATTCAGCGCGATCGGTATTACGTCCAGGTTGGCGCCTACGCAAGAGACAACCAGGGTGTCGTCGTCGCAAGTACAGCCATTGGGGCAGAAAGTCCGTGCCTCGGCTGTGCTGAGAGCGAAAAGCCCGACCAGGACGAGCAGATGGAGAACGCCATTGACGGTAAAGCTTCGCCGCGATGTCTGCAAACAATAAATAAAAATTCTGATTAGTTTTCATTGGAAAGAAAAATTTTATTTAAAGCAGTACACAATATCAACGTTGCGATATAAGCTTAAATTTCCATTATTAAGAATCATTTTATTAAAAATAATTTTTGACGAATAACAAATTTGCATCAATTGCTTATTGATCAGCTTTACTTTCGCGAACTGCTATCCAAGGTTAGGTGCGGATATTTGATTCTACATTTAACGGAAAATGCTATCGATAGTTGCCTTGGGAAATGGATACCATCTGATGTATACCGGCGCCCAATTTACGCCAGTTTTACGACGCCGAGCGTCGTTGAATTATTTCCCGCGCGGAGTTCATCGTGGCGTCGAAGAACAGCAAGAACAGAGCTCGTTCATTCTGTAACCCTCTCGTAACGCGAGAGAAGTTATTTCCATTTTCGTGGACTGCGATCGCGCACGTAGGTGCGAAATTAAGCCTGCCACGCGCAGCTGAAACATCCGTCGGGCTAAATTATATCCGGAAATACGAGCGCTCGCGGCTGTTCCGCGGATAATAAGCTCCCGGAGCGTAAAAACTTCTATTCGAGATGGAAACGCCGAGAGCACGGTCATCCGGACGAGTCCGAGCGCGGCGCTGCGGCTAAAGTACGCCGTAAAACTTAAACGGGATGGCTGATCCCAGCAACGAGCGAAGACGCCCGATGTTTCGGACCGAGAGGGAAAGAGGAAGAGAGAAAGCTCATCGGTAGACCCGGGAAAAATTCGATATCGACCTGCACTGTTTTGATATAGATACTACTACGTGAATCAGATAGCCGAGAAAATCTCGCATATATTTCGAATTTTGCGAAACATTCTCATGATGTATCATCTCTGATAATGTGTACATTCTTTTCACGAAAATACTCCCATTGTATAAATTAATATAATAGACTTATAACCGTTGTAGCTTTCACGTTCTTCAGGTAATTACGCGTATTTCAATCGTGCCCGGAACAAAGAAAGTTCCTATCAGATCGAGCGAGTTCGATCAAAATCGCACTCAACTTGGATTATCCGGAGAATCATTCGCATGCACGATCACGGAAACATGATTTACCGAGTTGATAAGGATATTTTTCTTGCAATAGTATAATCCAGGTCAACAGAAGTCTAAAAATCCGGTGAAATCGATCGCGCGGTGACAGTCGCTAGAAAATGTCGGGAATATTAACAGCGTTTCGAAAAAAAAGAGCTCGCGTGATTTACGCATATGGAAGGATTTATTTCGAAAGCTCGCCTCGTCTCGCCTCGCCTAGCCGAATCGGTGTCGTACTGATGCACTCCGTATGTTCGCATTAAGCCAGGCATGCAGTGCCCCAAAATCACCGATACATATTGTATCTCAACATATGACAGATATATCAAAAACTTAATCTAAAAAAATATACTCATATTTTTTATGCATTGATGATCCTCGAATGATAAGGAACGAAGAGTTAATATAAATTCTCGAATGTAAAAAAAAAACGAAGACGGGATACGTAATTAATATTGTAATTAATTTATTTAAGTTTTAATTTTAAATATTTAATTTTAATACAGGATTTTTATAAATTTATGATATTTAATAATGTCGAGTAAATCAGTTTTGCGCGAGTTGCAAGGTGGTAGAACAAGATATTCGTTTTCGAGAAACTCGCGCATCCGGAGATATGCATGTCGAGATATCCACGAGGTATCCGTCTCTCCCGTGTATATATACAGAGTGACTTTACATACACGTTTCAGCGCGCTGAGTGCTAATCCGCGCGACGAAATATACGAGACGCAGTCGGATATCGTTGCTGCGTATTCAAGCTAAAAACGGTTGCGTCATTAGGAAAGGATTATGCGATCCTCGCGAATACCGAACTTCCTCGTACTCACCACACGCGCCTGACCCCATTACTCATTTCCCATTTCAGCCGCATTACGCAGCATCCAGCTGTTATTAATGACTTTAGGACACAAATCGACTTTTCCCCTCGCTCTTTCTCGCTTTACATGTATATATAATCGGCTTTTTTATTATTAATACTGTTTTAATGATGTTAGCGTCAAGTTTATTAGAGATAATTAAATATCCTCGACTGATCGATACGTTTCAAAGAAATTTCCTGTGATTTCCTGTTGCAATTCTATTGTTTTTTATTAGAGAAGTAAAATTAAATACATGTAAAATTTATTATTATCTGCAGAAATTTATGAACCACCGTGAATCTATAAATACTTTATCTTTCTAACTCGAAACGTGTAATAAAAACATTTTAATTAATATATATTTCTTGTAATTATAATATCACAAAAAATTATAAATTCCCTTAGTATTACTTTTAATTAATGATATTTATACTTTTTCTGCACGTTTCTGTATATATTTCTATTTGCTGCAAAGACTTCTCACAGAACTCTTAAAATTCTTATTTAGCTGTTTCGCTCTTTTCATCGAATTTTCTTTATTTTCTTCTGATTAATTTTCCGTTGTTGTAAGTAGCATGATTTTAATTGTAATTGCTTCTCATTTTCTCGCATTTTTTTCTTATATTTTACTTGTATTCTTGTATATCCATGTGCGAAATATTCTGAAATTTCCAACGTTATTCCTACGCATATAGATTTTCATCGATCATATAAAACATGAATTTATTTATTTTTATACTTTTAAACTTAAATTTTTATTACTTCTTGCGTTCTCTGAAATCTGTGTTCAACCTGTTGCATTATTGACGGTGCGTTATCAATCAATGCATCAGGCGAACTCAAAGTTCAAACTCTCGACATTATTTATGCACTTCGGCGAAGCCACTGTTGGCAGCTCGAGAGTAACGCGACTCATCGGCGCGCACGAGGCGCAAATTACGTATGCGACAACGTGTGGTTGGAATCGGAATGCCGGTGTCCGATTCAGACGTCATCGTCTGCTGCGGAGACAACCGGAGAAATTAATAGAGCAACGTGTAATAACCGCTGCGAATAATCATGCCGGTCGGCTTCGCACGCGTACATTTCGTATTATCTCATATCTCACTTAGAATAAGAAGCATAACATTTTCCCATTACATTATATTATAGTTTTAATCACCTTGACATTTTATTTTATTTTTTTAATACAGTCCCTTGCTGGATGATTTATTTGCGAAAAGTTTCAATGTTAAAATTTGATTGCAGCTAATTTATGGCTTCTTTTGCTAAAACATAAAATGTAGCTTCCAATTAATAATAAGATAATATATCTTTCAAATTTTTCCAGAATATTTCGTTAAGACTTCTTTAAACTGAACTCCTTAGTAAAATTCTCCATTTTACATTTCATGAATTAAGCATTTGAATTTTCATGGGAATTCTCTTAGTTCTATGGATTAAAACAACTGTACACTCTGTAGTTAAACATCTTATCCTATTTAAATTTCTAAACTGGAGAAGGAATATTCTGTAGAATCTATCGTTGTACCGATAGTACAATACAAAGATTAATCGAGAAGTATATACATCGTCGCCGATAAAACGAATATCGCGGCGTTTTCGTTCATCCATCGTCAGCGATTTTTTCCGCGCTTTTCGAAATAAAATATATTTTCCTTTAGACACAAAATCCGACTGGAGAATTTCGTTAAAAACCGCCAGGTGTCCAGGTGCTTTTCGCGATACTTTCGAATTTTAATCAACGCATCGCGAGAGTACGCTACAACATGAGCACCATAACGCGCTTATAAACGCAGTTAATTATCATCATAGCGTAATCAACTTGGCTCAGTGTGGCAAAACCATCAACTACCGAGCGCGCAAAGCTACTCTCTACCAGCCGTTATGCCTGCACCATCTTCGTCCCTCTTCCTCCCCCCTCCCCCACCTAGTCATCCACCGAAATATCATCCGGAGATTTTGTTCGAGTGTACCATTTTCCGAAAAGCGAGATTTACATTTATTCGTCCGCTTTATACACGCAACGCTCTCGCGCGCGTCGGGCAGATTTACATTTATTTATACGAATGTTTATGGCGGCGGCATTTTTCAACCTATTTTTCGCCTCGCTCCGCCGTTATTCTTTTTTTTTTTTTATTTTTTTTATTCACACTCGCCACTGCAGAAACGTGTATTATACGGGCTCTCGAAACGCCTGATCGATATCGTCGCGTATCACGCGATAATTTTTTTTTCTATCACAGCGAAACGACTGTTGTTGCGCCGGCAAAACGTAGTCGCCAACATATTCATGCAACGTAAAATTGTTTATTTTCAAAGATACGCTCTTCCCCAAAGTCTTTTGAGTAGAAATATTCATTCGTTGCTTATGGATCTATCCTCGCCAGTTTTGAAAATATTGCATACATGCATATATGCAGCTTAAAATCGATTGGTTGCCCCTTTTTACACTTTATTGCTTTCGCGCTTATTAAGTTACGTTAAGAAAATTCATTAGAAAAACACTGCAAAGAGTACATCGTACTTGTAGGTTCAATAAAAATTTGCGTTACTTATATATATTTGTACATAATAAAATATTTATAAATAAGTTTATATAATAATATATAGCGATAAAAAGAATAGAATATTTTTCAAGTGTGTATACAAATTATTACCAAACTTGTAACGTCAATTATTAGAGAGAGATTGAAGTAAATATCAACTGTTTTCCGATAGTACGACCACCGTTGCGTAGGACGTAAAATATGCGAATTCAATTGTAGTCGCTGGGTCGAAGAGGGTTAATCGTTCCCGGATAACCGGCATGGGAGAATACGCCAGACATCTCGACTTATCGCTCGCACTAATCATAACGCGGATGTCGCGGGCGGGACGGGGAGAAACGGCGGCGGTGGAATATAACGTCACGCCCAGCCCTCGTTTCAGGGTGAATACGTCGGATTTAACTCGATGTAATTAGCGATTACAGATTACCCTTTCGTCCATTAGCATGGGCCATGATATGCACACGAACCCGGCCGCTGTGTTCATGTAAATGCGCCGCATACATACAGATTAGG